GAGATGCGCGGGAGGGGTCGGCACCTGGTGTGCAGGTGCGCGCGTTCTTGGCGGCCTGGGGCTAGCAAGCGGGTTCCGCTCCCTGCGCCCGGCGAGAGGCGCGTGCTCCTCCACTCGCTCCTGCCCGCTCAGTCGCTTAGTCCGTCGCTCTCACGAGACTGAGCAGGGGCTCCCTCGGGCCCACCGCCTGGCCTGGGGAAAAAGTTTGTGGGAAGCGGATCCTCGGGCTGCGCCCAGCACGCCCGGAGCAGGGAGGACAGCGGGGCCCGGGGGTGACCGAGGTGCAGCCAGCGTCCCCAGGTCGTCCCGGAAGTTAGGACTCGGCCTGGGATAGAGATTGATCCCTCGTCCTGGCTGGGAAGAGAATGAGGGCGCCCCTGGAGCTGATGGGACTCGTGAAGCTGCAGCCCCCCGCACTGGGTAGGGGCCTGGACCTAGGAGGGGTTTGATTGTGCTGATGGAGGGGGAAAGCGACTTGTCTGAGGTCGCTTGCATCGCGGCCAGTTCCTGGGCTCTGAGTCATTTGCCTGCTCCTAGTAGCCCCGGGAGAGGCCCGGGAGTTGTGTAATTTGTGGAGGGCAGGACCCGGTCCAGGTCCCTGGCTTCTGACCGGGGCTACTGGAAGCACAGCGTGGGAGAGGCACACACGTCTGGTACCCCCCCCCAGGAGTTCAGGATTCCTGTCGGGGTGGAGTGGAGAGTGGAGAGCAGCACACAGCTGAGAAGGTGAGGCCTGCAAGGCATAGCAGGAGGGACTGGCTGAGTCCCCACGGAGTCCCAGCTCCACCCTGGAGCCCACTGAGCAGGAAGGGTGGACGCTGACCGGCCGGCGAGCCTGTGCCCAGCGCTTCCCATGCCCAGGGGCCACTCTTGTCCGCACCTCCTCCTGCAAGCCTGAGCCAACACTGACAAGGGCTCCAGGGATGCAGGGAGGGGTGGCTGGGTTTCCCTCTCTCTGAGAAAGTGCCCCCATTACCTTGTCTCTGCACAAATCCAGCGGGAGGGGCTGCTGTGTACCCTTAGGCAGTGGCCTGGCACCCCACCCCCCACAAAGTCCCAGCCCTTGTCCCCTCTTAGCTGGGCCCTGAGCTCAGTCACAAGTGGGGGAGCCCCAGGAGGGCCTAGGGGAGAACTCAGCCAGGATGACTGTCTGGGGAAGACCCTGTGGGCCTGGAGCCTGGGATCAGAAGGTGGGGTGGGGGCAGGCGCTCCTCATGCCTCTCTTTTGCACGTGGAGTTTCTGTGACATTCTGCTCTCCCCAAGCTTTGCTGAGGGCCCTGAAGGCACTGGCCCGAGAGGAACCTGAGGGCAGCAAAACCAGACAGGTGGCTGCCACACTCTGCAGACCCTGGGCCAGGTTCACCCAAAACTACAGCTTCCTGGGATGCGGGGAGGAGGGTGCTGCTGGCCCGGATCCCCCCTAGATGCAGACGGACACACAGAGATGGTGTTCTGGAGCCTGGCTGGTCCCCAAGGGCTGTGTTGCCCCCATGCCCATTGGCACCTTGAAGCACAGACAGGCCCTGGCCCTCTTGGAGTGCCACCTGCCAGCCCCAGCAGCCAGGCTTAGCTGAGTCCCCCCAGGCCTGCAAGCACCAAGGGGCAGCGGACCCCAGGGAGAGAACAGCTGAGAGGGCTGGCTGCAGGGCAGCCTTGGAGCTGAGCCTGAGGTCAGCCAGGGTTTGAGGAGACAAAATTCCCACTGCAGATGATCCTGGGGGAAGCATCTTTGCCTGCTGGAGGCCCTGGGGTCCCCTGCAGAGCAGGCTTCCAGGGGGAAGAAGGGGCCAGCATCCTCATCCAAGGAGCTGAGGTGTCTGGGAGAGGACCAGTGGGGGAAGGGGCCTGCTGTGGGAGGTGGTGAGCTCCTGGGGTGGCAGGATTCCAGCCCTCCTCCTGGTGGGACAGGCTAGGATTTCAGACACTGACTCATGTTTCTTCTTTTCCCTCCTCGACAACAAGAAGTTGAGGGAAGTGGGGAAAAGGTTTGGACAGCCAAGGAGATTGGGGTCCAGGACTCCACAGCTGAGACCCCATAGGGGAACTGGTCAGGCAGGGTGGGGGACCCAGGGTCAGAATAGAGAGCACCCTACTCCTGCCCTGATACTGGGCGGGGGGCCACTCCTGTTCTCCATCCTCTTGGTTCTCTGGAAGGAGCAATGCAGGGGGAGAAGGAACCAAACTCCCCAGCGCCCATGCTGTGGTGTTGGCCTGGTGTCCTGCCCTGCCATGGCTGCAGGTGGGGGCTGTCCCAGTGCTCCGCCCGGCAACTGTCTCTGAGCTGCAGCGGAGACCTGCCCCCAACAGCCAGTCCCTCCACATGCAGGTCAGAGGTCAGAGGTCAGAGTCCCTGGGCTACAGGACTGTGTTGATGGTGTTCCCACCCTTTGGGGTGGCTTCTGAGCCAGACGGGTGATGTCAGTGTCCCCACAACCACTGTGAATGAATGGAGGCCCCTGTGGTCCCAAGAGGTATAGCTGGCAGAGGTCTGAGCATCTTGAGAAGTGGCTTTGCTCATGCCTCTGGTAGGCCCAGGTGCAGGGGCTGCCTCCCCTACCTCCCCAAGGCTTCCTGCATCCCGAGTGGGGGACAGGGAGTGTGTGTGTGTGTGCGTGTGCGCGCGCGCGTGCATGTGCATGCATGCACATGTCCCTTCTGACTGCTCCCTCTTCTCCTGAGCCCTGGGGTTCAATTGTGGAGCTCCCTGTGACCTTATCTAATCCCAGAGCCTCCGCCTCCTGCTCATGTGGGGATCTTGCTGCAGCTCAAGGGGCATTCACACGAACCTCGGCCGCAGCACACCCTTGGGATGCAGTCGGAGCCTCACGCTCAGGGTGCGGAGGCAAAGAATGAGCAGAAGGGTGGTGGACCTGGCCTTCCATGCCTCTACTCCATCTCTTCTCCCCTCCCTTGCCCAATGGGTGCCTCTCTATGCTACTGGGGCTGCAATGAAGGCTCGTGGCATGATGTCCCTTCCCGCACCAACTCACGTTTGATCCTGGGTGGGTGGCTCGTGGGCTCTGAACTGGACTTTGGTCACTGGTAGTCACACCTGTGCTCTACCAGGCCTGTCTTCCTCAGTGGAGGAAGTAGCCAAGTCCTTCCCACAGTCCTTCCTGACTTCCAGCCCAGCCCTTGTCTCTCCTTTGATGGGAGAGAGCCTGATCTTCTTATGTTGCTGTGGTCCTGAGCCTTTTTTGCCTGGGCACAGGGGGTGATGGGTCTCTGTCTGTACCAGAAGTGGAGACAGACAGGACCTGGGAGTCAGGGATGCAAGACCTCCTCATGTGGCTGTGGAGAAGC